CATCAGTCCATCCATTACAATGTCTCTTTCTTGATCTTATAATCTGCTCTTTTTGGAATTGAAAATTTAGAGGTGGCCACCACACTGTAGGCTTCAATTTGGCTGGAAACTTTTCAAGCATAACTCCTATCAAAGGAAGTGGATATGCTTTATCAAGAGCTAAAACTCTTTCCATCATATTATTCACATCTGCTTGATTCGGATGTTGATGATCGAAAGCCAGTAGAGTCTCAATTTCTTTGCGTATTTGCTTGAACAATCTTGAAGCATTGCGCTGTTCTTCGACAAGTTGTGGTGGCTGAAACTTGTTTATCACCAACAACATCCTTGTAGCCGCAAAAAACAGCAGACATGACGACAATTTTAATGTGAAAACTGGCATCGCCACCCAACTGATCGCGCCGAGTCCGGCCATAGTTTTGTCTGTGAGAGTGATCATGTTAATAGAGTTCAATCGAAGTGAGTTCCAGTTATCATGCTGCTTGCCCATATTCGTATGCATCTCCACTCGATCGGACACTGCCTCTAATATTGCATGAAGCTTGGTAATGGCAATGGCAATATCATTATCCTTTCCACATTTTTCGATGGTTTGCATCCATTTCCTATTTTCTCCAATACACATCGACTTCTCAACCGAATATTTCTGTTGGTATATGTCTTCACCAATGGATTTTTGGGCATTGACAATGGAAAAATCTGCGTTATCGAGTGATTGCATGGCAATTGTGTTGATTTAACCATGTCTTTTTCCAAACATTTTAAGTTTAGAAACATCGATGACAGCATTAATTTTCTTTGAAGAACAAGAAATGGATGACATTTGTAAAGCCATTTGCTCTTGTCCCTAATTCAGATTTTTCCTTTTTTTTCCTTTTTTGGGTATTTGGTAAAGGTACAAATCATGGTCCTATATTTATAATTTATATCATGCAACATAGATATTATAGAATTTAGATTTTGTTGAAAATATTGAGTAGAAATTTTGTTGACCTGACCAATTCTGTACTATGAATTTCTTCAACTTCTCTCTCTCTCTCCCAGTTGCTATGGACTCAGTAAATGACATCCAAGATTCAAAAATGAATTGCTACGACATCGTATCGTTCCTTCAGTTCGCTTCGTCTACTTTGGATGATAATTTTTATATATACGTATACACAAAAATCTTTTTAATGGAGCTGAAATTATTAAATCTCCATGGACAGGCCATGCAGTCGTCTTGATTTTTTCTTCTGTCAAAACTTTGTATATCCAATTAACAAATAGGAGAGCGTTGCTTCAAAGAACAGTTATTTGAATATGATCAAGTCAATTAACTTATAAGCTGGTTAAGTTTAAGTCTCTGCTAAAACTATAAATATGAAAGTTTTTGGACGATTTCAAGCCTAACAAGAGGAAGCTTTGACATGTTATCTCATGTTACAAGTTTGAAAGATTTCGAAAGACGAGTATTGAATGTGTAATTAAAATCGATGTTTGATTTTGACTTTAAATATAGTGAGATTAACATTTTAGTCAAGCCACTTGGTTCGTCTCTACCAACATTGCATACAGATTATCCGACGTTTCCATGTTCAAATGCATAGTCACATCTTTAAATTTCTTTCTTAGCGCTATAATATCTACAGTATATAATTGTTGCTTTCTAGTTCACAGATGTGGGTGTAATGAGTG